CAGAAGATGAACAAATGTGTGGGAAAATGATTATGAAGAGGCTACTTCAAAAAGAACTTGTTTCCTCTCAACATTTATCTTGGGCTTCCTGTGGCCCAATCTTCAAGCTACTTTTATCAACGTTATCAGAACATCACTTTGTCTTACCCAAACACGTTTATGGCTCTGACTAAAGAATATGACAGATCAGACATCGTTCCACACCTGCTCCCCTCCCCCATCCCTGTTTTGAGGGCTGGGGAAATTTTAGTTTTTAATCAAAGGCTTTATTTGTCCAATTGTACAAAGGAATTTAACTGGGACTTTACAACTGAATACAATAGGTCTCAGAGTTGATACCAATCTTAGCAAGAGGATATTGCCTAACCCAACCTAAAAGTACCAGAGTCATTACAGAAATACTCTGCTGACCTTGATTTCTTCTCCATCGTTGAGTCATGCCACTCAGTCATCAGGTGTCCTGTAGATTTACTGGGTACCTACCCTGCGCTGAGCAGTGGCCCTTGCAAAGCTCACAGCCTCCCTCAAGAGGGAGAGGTGACCACGTAAATAGAGAATGACAGCACGTTGAGGGCTGTAGCAGAGGAGGGGGACCGGTGCTGCCGGGCGGGCGCGGCATTCTTCCCTAGCAGCTGGCAGGTGCCCGGCGTCTGCCTGACCAGCAGTTCAGAAAAGGACGCTGCTCCTCGGAACTGCTGTTGAAAGGTTAACGGTCTAACAATGGGAAAGGCATTCCAGGCAGAAGGCAGTAGCTTGAATCCAGGTGCATGTGCATTGGTTGTATGTTTGAAGTTGGGCCAAAGAGGTGGGGATAGCTGAGCCTGAAAAGTAAAGAGGTAGGCCAGGCTCCTACTGTGAGTTTTCTGTAAGCAGTGGGAAGCCACGGAAGGATTTTAAGTGGGTCACTCACATTGTTTGTGTTTTAAAGAAACTACTGCTGGAGCCCTGGCTGCTTTGCCTCAGAGGTTAGAGCGTCGGCCCGTGGACCAAAGGGTCACGGGTTTGATTCCAGTCAAGGGCACGGACCAGTTGCAGGTTTGATCCCTGGCCCTAGTCAGGGTTATGTGGGAGGCAACCAATCTGTGTGTGTCTCTCACATAGATGTTTCTCCCCACCACACCCTCACTCCTTCCCTTCCACTCGATCTAAAAATCAATGGAAAAATATCCTCAGGTGAGGATTAACAAAAAAAGAAACTATTGCTAGAAAGATGGTGAAGGATGAGACGGGGAGCTAGGAGAGCAGATGATGTTGCACTGTGTCCTGGAGGCTGCCAGAGAAGCCGAGTCCCCTCAGCTGACTCTCGCACTCATGGTGGTACCTTGACTGACCCAACATCTGTATCTTTGCTTCTCTTTACCCACATTACCTAACAGGTACCCCATGCTTGCGTTTGGGTAACACTGTCCATTGGAAACAAGAACGGAAGAGACTGCTTAGAGACTAAAAGTTGAGCTAGGAACAAGTGGACAAGGAAGATGGACAGAAGAGAAACACTGGAGAGCTGAAGAGAGAGTCAGAGTGCTTGGGGCTGAGACCGGTTCAGGAACTGCCAGGCGGGACAGGAACAGGTTTCCACCTGGGAATGGGAACTCTAATGAGCTGACAAACTGAACCAGGAAATCAGCCCGAGACTGGAGTGGGCGCTTGCCTCCCCCTCTGGGAGCGGGTCGGAATGGAGCGGCTCCTGGCGAGCTGCCGGCCCTCCCGAAGTCCTCCACCTCGGATGACTCGCGCCCTGAGAGGCGGTGGACATGACGTGTGGAGGGAGGTGGGGAAGGGCGGGCCGCGTGGCTGGCATGAGCACACCAGCCCACAGCAGCCAGGGGGCCCTGGTGCACTTCTAACTGACCCCGGAATGTTTCCATGAAGGCAGTCAGCCATAGACTTGAGTGAAATGTTTTTTTCTTTTTTTCCTTTGAATGGGTCAGGATTTATTTGTTTTACTAAATTATAGTTTACATTCAGTATTATTTTCTGTTAGTTTCAGGTGTACAACATAGCACTTAGACGATCATATACTTTACAAAGTGTCCCCCTGACATTTCCAGGACCCACCTGGCACCACACGTAGTATAGCAGTCTTACTGGCTACATTCCCTATGCTGATCTTGACATCCCTGTGACTGATTTGTAACTTCTGATCTGTACTTCTCAATCCTTCACCTTCGTCACCCCCGCCCAGCAGTCAGTCTGCTCTGTGTCTAGGAGTCTGTTTCTCTTTTGTTTGTTCATTAATTGTGGTCTTTAGATTCCACATAGAAGTGAAATTGAAACATTTTTTCCTTTAATTTATTTATTCAATATGTATTTGTTACCTACTAATGCCAGTTAGAGATGTAATATATTCGTAGGAAAAAGGTGGAGGTAGCCAGTAGCTGGGAGGGAGGGGTTCAACCTTTGCTGTCTGCGTCGCCCATTCTGTGCGCAGTAAGAGGCACATCCATGGAGCAGGCGTGGTCCGTGGCTACGTCTCCTAAATGAATGTGCTTAAATGACAAGCATCTCAACTTTCACTTAATCCTGAAGCTTCTTCACTCATTCTTTTGATGTGTGTCCTCAGTTCATGTTGTCTCCCTTGGTGAACTCAAGGGCTGGGTGTTTCCATCCAGAGCCCAGCACAGCCTTCAGGAAGTGACTGGAGAGTTAGCTGTGTCTTCACCATTGAGGCCGATCTGATGACAGGCCTGCCTGGGCTCCATATGTCCTTCCTATGGCCCGTTCTGAACACTTCTTCCCGACAGCCTTTCTGTTACCATCCTGGCTTCGTACACAAATTGTAACCCGCAGCTCATATCCTGTGGCAGACTACAGCTCATATTAGCCATTCAATGCAAATGAGTCTAATCAAAGAAGAAAGGAAACTAAAATGTTCAATGTGGCCTTAGAAGGCTCCATGACTCTTAGTTGCTTGTTGCCCTTGGCATGCTGGTATTTTATGTGGGCAGGGTGAAACTGGCTGTGGTCAGGGTGAGACTTGAAGCTTTTGATTTGTTCCCTTATTTTGAAAGGATTAAAAAGATGTTACATGTTTTGGTATAATTTTAGTACTAGTATTAATTTTTGTCACATACGTGTAACGAGGATGAAAAGAGTGCTCATTCACTGGTATTAGGTCCGTGTTCTTGCAGAGAACATGTCTTCAAAAGGCAAGTTTCAGTGACCTGACCCTCATTTTTTACCCCTTTAAATTTTTTAAATAACACCTTTATTGAGATATAGCTCACATACTGTAAAATTCATCCTCTTTCATTGTACAATTCAGTGCTTTTCGGAACAGCTGCAGAGTTTTACAGCCATCACCACACTCTAACATCGGAACACATCATCACTGCCAGAAGAAGCCCTGTCCATTAGCTGTCGCTCCCCGTTTCTCCCTCGCCCCAGCCCCTAGCAACCAGCATTCTGCTTTTTCCTCTGTGGATGCCTCCTCTAGACATTTCATATAAATGGGATCATACTGGGTGTGGCCTTTTGTGTCTGGCTTCTTCCACTTAGCATGTTTCCAAGGTTCATTCATATTTTAGCATGTATCAGTACTTCATTTTTTTTTTTATCACCAAATACTATTTTGTGGTATGGCTCTACCACATTTTGTCTGTCCATTCATCAATTGACTGACACCTGGGTGGTTTCTCCTTTTTTGCTATTATGAGTAGTGCTGCTGCTGTTTGTGTATCGGTGTTTGTGCGGATGTATGTTTTCAGTTCTTCTGGACAGACACGTACTAGGACTGGAATCGCTGGGCCCTGGAGTACCGGTTTGGCCTTTGAGGAAGTGCTGCACTGTTTCCCAGAGTGGCCGCAGTTTTCTGGTCACACCAGCAACACCTGAGAATTCCAGTTTATCCACATCTTCGCCAACATTTGTGATCATCTATCTTTTTAATGTTAGCTTTGATTTTTAGAAACATTTTATCATTTGTGAGTGTGGTCACTCAGATTGAAACTGGAGAGCCAGCTGTCTCTCTCCCCCAGCCTCGCCCAAGTGCCCGTTTTTGTTTTGAGTTTTGAGTTTCTCTGGCGGCTACCATCATAATTCCAAAGATCTCTTGATTCACTCACTGTTGCTTTTTCCCCTTTTTATTATAAAAACTTACAAACACGTATAAAAGTGGGGTAGTCCAACCAACCCCCCGAGTACCCACCCCCAGCTGCACAATCGATTCATAACGACTCTTGCCAACTATTTTTTGATTTATCAACTTTAGGTATTGTGTTGATTTCCCTATTGGAAAGTGAGGTTTACTTCATTCATTACCGTAAAACTTCCAAATGTTTTATGGTGAGTTATTTTTAGATCTTCTATTACCTTTGCAATTTTGAATAGATACTTAAATCTCTTATTATTCCATCAACCTTAGACAGTCTTGTTTAGCTGGCCCCTCGCTGAGTGAGCTGGGGAGATTAGGTCCCGCCTCTCTCTTTCCCTCCCAGCCCTCTTCAGCTGTCCCTTTTGTATTGTCACGTTGGCCCCATTTACAGTCTGTTCTTCTGTGCTTTGTCTATTGGTTCTAAGACTTGAGAATGAAGAGAATTTGCATGATTAGGACTTTAAATATTATTCACAGAAGAGTCATGTGCTAGAATTACTTTTCCCCGTAGTCTCAATATGGCCACCCTTGTGCCAATGGGAGAGGCTTGTTCTAAGCATCCAGTTGACACCTTTTCCGTTCAGAATCACTTGGTAGTCAGGAGGACTCGCGGGGCCACTCTGCAAGCCCTCTTTTATCGTTTACATTATGCGGACTTGTACTCTGGAATCGTGTGCATTGTGTCCGCAGCTAGAGAGAGGAAAGCAGTCTTTCCTTTTTGACTGCTGTACTAGTTTCTCAGTAGAGTAAATTGGTTTCCCCAAAAGTTACCAAGTAAGGCACCCGTGCTAGTAAAGTGAGATCATGCTGTCAGATTCTACATATACTTTATTTTATGATGAGTTATAAATATATAAATATTTTTAAAATAAGGCTATTAAAAACTCATAAATTAAAATATTTAGCTTCAACTCGTTGCATATTTCTCTTGCATGATCCTCCTTAACCTTTCCAAGAAGTCTTTCAGTGAACTCTTCTTGGTTTCATTCACGGAGCAGGAGATCTGCAAAAGAAACATTTCATTAGCTTGCGTTGCTGAATAACTGATCTTGCTGTCCTGCCTGTCTGCTCCAGTCAGGCCTACCCTGGCACTTATCACCTGAGCGAGATCGAGTGAGGGCCTCCAGTCTCGCTGACGGGGAGCCTGACTCCACCGCTAGGCCAGAGCGCTTGCCTGTTGTCGGGGCACACTGCTCACCTTCCTACAGGTGGTTACTGTGCCATCACGTCAGTGTCTGCCCTGGGGGTGCTCAGGGCGCATGAAGGTGGAGGCTGAGACCTGTCCACGCTGTCCCGGGCCATCTGCGGGGCTGCCCGGACTGCTGAGAGACGGGTTCAGTCCATTTGCCCTCCTGCCCATGAAATAGCAACACCATGGCTCGGCGGCACGTCGGGGGAAGGATTCCAGGTGCCTGCCCAGGCCACTGCTTCAGTTTGGATCTCAGTTCTGTCAGTTTGTTCACTGCACTGCTTAGGACAAACCACTTCATTTATAAAATGCTTCAGTTTCCTCTTTTGTGGAAAGCGAACAATAGTGCCAATTTTAGAAGATTATTAAGAGGATTAAAAGAGAATGCATGTAATGTCGGTACCCTATTCCATTACCCGGCCCGGGGAGGGGAAGGCTGTCCGCGGTCCCTCCGCGGGGCGTCAGCACCCTCTCCGCTCTGCCCGCCCCACGGGGCCAGGCCCACTGTGCCTTCACATGCTGAACATTCTGCTTCAGAGAACTGCCCTCACTCCACTGCTCTTCGCTCTGCAACCTGCTGTGCTCACCACCCCTTCCTTTCCACTCCTCCCCTGCCCTTTCCTGTGGAACCCACTCAGTAGCCTTCCCTGCCGCATCTCCATTTACAGCAGCATCGCCGATGCCCTCTGTCGTGGGGAGTCCAGTGCCGTCCCTGCCTCTGCCTTCCTTGACCTTCCGGTACATGCGCTACACTTGGTCACTCCCTCCTCAAAGGCTTCTTCACTTGCCTTCTGGGGCACCGCACACCCCTCCCATCCCCCCCACTCCACTGCTCCCCCAGTCTCTCCCGGACCCTCCTCTACCTGACCCTCTATGTCAGTGCCTCCGGGCCCAGAACTGGCATCTCTTCCTTCCTGTATGTTATCCCGGTCCGTGGTTTTAAATAACATCTTTACGAGGGCTCTTTATTTTATATCATGGGTTCTGACCTCTCCCCTAAGCTTCAGACTTTTCCAGCAATCTTCTCAACATCTCCACTTGGCTGTCCAGTAGGTGGGTCAAACTTACTATGTAAAAATTCAACTCCTGACCTTCTGCTCAGCCTCTAGCTCTGCTTTGCCCCCCAGTCACCCATGTCTGTAAATGCCAACCATCCCCAAGGGGCGCAGGCTGGGCACCACGAGGTCACCTTGTACTCCTTCCCTCACACCTCATAGTGGATCTGCCAGCAAGTCCTGGCTCCATGTTTAGTTATAGCCCAAATCTAACAACCTCTGCTGCTCCACCCTTTCAAAACCACCACGGCCTCCAGCCCGGACCGCTGCAGCGGCCTCCACAGGCCCTCTCGCTTCTGTGCTCACCACACCGGAGCCAGAGCGATCTTTCTAAATCACAAAAACCAGATCGTAGTCTCTGCCCCACTCAAAGCCCTGGGAGTATTTCCCACCATACTTGGGACAGAATCCAAAGATCCATTGTGATCTAAGCTCTTGTCAAAGTCCCCCTGCCCACTCTGGTCCAGCTGTACCGGCCTTCCTACTGCTCTTTGAACACATGAAGTTCATTTCCACCTGAGGGCCTTTGCACAGCTGTCCCTTCTGCCAGGAATATTCTTTCCTCAGTTAGCTAGGAGGGCTGCTCCCTCACATAATTTGAATATCTTCTCAGGTGATCTCACCAACTACTAAACAGCCCTCTTCCTCATTGCCCCTGTGTTCTTTATTCCTGTGTTCTTCATAGCACATATCACTGCTGGACATCTTCTGACATGTTAGTTTGCTTTTCTGTCTCCCCCACTAGAACATTCTGTGAGAGCAGGGGCTCCGTCGGCTTCCCTCTCATACTGTACCCCCAGGGCCTGGAACTTGTAGAGCCTCAAGGAATACTTTTTGAATGAATGAATGGGTTGGTTAGCACAGGCACTGCCACCCACGAGCAGGGCCATGCGACGCGTGGTGCTGCCCGCCAGGGCCACCGGTGGGCGCGAGAAGCCTACCTTGCTGGCCATGCTGTAGAGGTTCCTGTCAAGTCTGCTCAGCATTTTGCTCAAGCACCTGTGTTGCGTGTAGACGTGCCGGAGTACCTGCGCAGCCCTGCAGAAGATTTCCGTCTCAGTTGTGTTCTAGAAAGAGAAACACCAGATCATATGTACTAGCTCTGTTTTGAACATGGGAACATTTCCTTCTGGTTTCTTTTTTCAGGAAGACAGTGGTGAAGGTACGTTAGCTCAACTATGGATCGAGTAGTCAAGAATTCCTGCCGTGTGACTGAACCTCTGTAAACAACCTCTCCCAGGCATCTGCAAATCCAGCAGCCTTTTCCTCAGAAACTCCCAATTTCTTTCCCTCAGTGTTTTGCTGAAAGGTACCGGAATAAAGTCCCTCAGCCCAGTGAATGAGAACGTGGGGATCTGAATGCAGACCCTCTCTCCAGAGCTCAGGTCCGTTTCTTTACATAAGCTGCTCTTTCTGTGGAAGGTGCCTCGGTGAGCCCACAGTCATTCCTGCAAGGTTTAAAATCCGTTTCCCCGGAAGTCCTGCATTCTTGTTGAATAACTGGACAGTGCTGCTTTGGGCCACACTCTCCATTTAGCCATCCCCATGAGAGACAGTGGTTTGCGTGGAACTCGGGGTCCAGATGAGGAGATGAGACATTTCCCCACAGCTAGGTGAGTGCCAGGATCAGGGTGAGGCCCCAGGAGTCTGGCTGCAGGAGATCAGGGAAGCTTCTGAGAGAAGGTGCCATTGAGCTTGGACAGGGCTCCCATCAGGGGCTTTGGGCCTTGCTGTGCGTGCTCAGAACCTCCTGGGCATGCTGGGAGCTCTGGCGTGGGACTGGCCACAAGCCTCGTCCTGGGGACATTTGGGACTTAGAAGAGGGAACGTACAAGCAGGGAAACAGCTCTTGTTGGGAACCTGGGAGAGGGATTGTGTCTCAATCTGAATCAGACCTGCTGTGTCCTCTCATTTCTCCTGAAAAACGAAGTCACAAAGCCTGGAGAGTGGTCTTAGCTGGAGTCTGGTCCAGTTCAGGAACAGCTATCTCTGGCCTCTGCCAGGACATGCTCTGGTCCCTTGCCGCTTAGAGTGTGGTCCATGGAGCAGCAACACAGGCATCAGCCGGGAGCTTGTTAGAAACACAGAAGCTCGGCCCCACCCCGGCCCACTGAACTGCAAATGTGCATTGTCTCCAGGGGCCTTTCATATGAGAAGCACTGTCCAAGTAAGTTCTTACATTCACATACTTTTTCTGACTATCAAGGTAATATAAGTTTACTATAAAAATAGTATATATTCAACAAAAATGAATTCACTCCTTATCCTACCAGCCAGAGATAACTACTGTTACTGTTTTGGTTAGCCCTGTCGGTGTGGCTCGTGGATTGAGCGTTGTCCCGTGGACTGAGAGGTCCTGATTCCCAGTCAGGGCACATGCTCGGGTTCCAGGCTCGATCCCCAGTGGGGGGCATGCAGGAGGCAGCTGATCGATGTTTCTCTCTCATCGATGTTTCTTTCTCCCTCTCCTTTCCTCTCTCTCTAAAAAAATCAGTAAAAACATATTTAATATATACATATAAGTACTTTTAAATACTTTTACCAGGTTTTTAAAAGTACTTTTTACAAAATAGGGACCAGCCATTGGTACTGTTTTGTAACTTTTTCACACTTAACACAGTACGAGCATGTTCGTAGGTGGTTCACAAGCATCTGGAACATGAGAGCTCTGGAGGATCTCACGGCACATTTGTGCCGCAATCGATCAATCCCCTACTACTAATTTTTTTGCTTTTGTAAATAATTATGGCAGTGAGTTACCTGTATAAATCTCCATGTTCATCTCTTATTTCTTTTTTTTTTTTTTTTTTTTTTTTTTATCCTCACCCGAGGACACTTTTCCATTTTTTGTTCAGGTAGAGTGGGAGGGAGAGAGAAGAACAGAGAGAGAGAGAAACATCGATGTGAAAGGGACACATCGAGTGGCTGCCACCCGCACAACCGACCAGGGCCGGGGACAAACTGCAACCGAGGTACGTGCCCTTAGCGGGAACTGAACCCGGGTCTCTCTGTACCGCAGGCCGACGCTCCAACCGCTGAGCCAAACCGGCCAGGGCCATCTCTTATTTCTTTAGGCTAAATTGTAGAAGCACTAGAATCCCAACCTACAAAAGCTCCCCCTTTCCCCTGAGGGCGTGGTGGCCCATGGCAGGACCTTTGGACGGGCACACACTTAATGAACTGGTTCGAGCCTCCTGGGCCCTGATTTCAGTAGGAAATGTAAGAGCAGCACCAGTGTCTCTGGGCTCGGGGACCCCACCCCTCCATGAGGCACCACGCCTCCGGGGCTTTGTGGGTGGACAGAGGCGGTGAGGCCAAGGGAAAGGCCCCTGTGGACGGGTGAGGCATGCCCTTGTGCTGTAGACAGAGCAGTGAGGTTCCAGGGGCCAAAAGGAGAAGAGCCCCTTTGCTTGCATTTCCACCAAAATCTAATGAGACTTTTGAGAAACTCTGGCTTGGAGCCTAGAAATTAAACCGCCTCCTTGTTTTGAATATGTGGCCATATAATACAGGGGGGCAAAAACCTCTCAAGGTATCTGTCAAAGGACTTCCTAAAAGTAATTAGGATAAAATAGGAATTGAAAAGAGTCTGAATCGAATGGAAAAGTGTTTTTAAAAAACACACTAATTCTAAAGGCCTTTTCAGGTCAGGGCCTAACGGTTCGGTTCCGTTGGTATTCCAACAAGACGACCCCCGCACTGACCACTCGCGGCTCGTCCAGCTGCGCCGGCCTGAGCGTGTCCCGCCAGCTCAGGGCCACTTCCCCCGCCGGGAGGACCGCGGGGTCAGAACTGGGCAGGAAAAGAGCCTTGGGAGGCCCCGGCTGGGCGGAAGGAAGCTCCCTCCGGGAACGGCTAGTGGCAGAACACCATTTGGGGGTTTCTTCTGCGGCCATGACTCTTGGTCGTTGACTTAGCTTTGTTCAGGGCCATAAAAGTGCAGTCCTATCTGGATTGTATCCATCGTCTCCACCCCTGCCCAAATGTGGTGAGCTAGTGCTGCACATGAGAAAGGCCTTTACTTTCACTTAAAACAAAATTGAGGGTTGACAGAGCTTTCTGAAAAATTATGAATGTGAGCTGTTTTTCGTAGGAAGTACCTCCAACTAACGGTGCCCGCAAGCAGTGCTCCCGGGCGGCCAGCCCGCCGCCCTGCCTCAGACCAGCTCCGCGGCAGACACCAGGCAGCGGCTGAGGCCCGGGATTCTGTCAGCACCTTCTCACCAGCAACGCCCAGAGCAGGCTGTCACCCGATGTGGAGATACAGGAATTCGTGATTCCAGAAGAAATAAAATTAATACACTGGAAAAATGTTCCTCTTTGGGAACACAAAAAATAACTTTTCCTCCCACATACCACCTCTGTGGGTTTCGAAAAGAACAACCTTTTCTTGTTCTGAAATATCTGCATAGATAAGTAAGCAGCCCTAAACCTTTGAGGGAAAGAAAAGAAAGGGAAAGTGAGCTGAGCTTCAGCGCCAGGGGTGGCTGTCACCCCTGGGCTTGGAGGGCTTGATGTCTCCAACCACTGCCCCTCCCTCAGAATTACTGCTTCTCTACAACCAGTTTCTGTCTTTCATCAAGAGTTGTATCATCTGCCCTGGCCGGTTTGGCTCAGCGGTTAGAGCGTCCACCTGCGGTACAGAGAGACCCGGGTTCGGTTCCCGCTAAGGGCATGTACCTCGGTTGCAGTTTGTCCCCGGCCCTGGTTGGTCGTGTGGGTGGCAGCCACTCGATGTGTCCCTTCACGTCGATGTTTCTCTCTCTCTCTTCCTCTCTCTCCCTCCTGCTCTATCTGAACAAAAAATGGAAAAGTGTCCTCGGGTGAGGATTAAAAAAAAAAAAAAAAAAAAAAAGAGTTGTATCATCTTACAGTAACACTTCCCACCAACTCAAGAGCTGGAGTCCAACCAACTTTCAAAATCACTTTCATTTCTTCAGATGTGGAAACTGAGGCACAGAGAGGTATGGAGACTTGCCAAAGACCACACAACTGGTTAGTGGCAGAATCAGGACTAAAACCACCGACTGTCTCACTTCCAGACCCTCTGCGCTTCCTTCGGGCCCTGCCCTTGGCCTTGGCGCGCGCAGCCGTGCAGGCCCCTCGACACCGCAGGCCCTCCGCTCCATGCACATGTTAACACGTCACATTACCATGTATAGTTCTACATGTATATAAAAACCTCCAAGTCCTTCGAGCATATTGCTAGAGTCTGGTATATGAGATTCTGAAGGACAAAATTATATTTTATATATGTAATTATATATATAGTTGTATATTATACATTTATTTTATATAATATTATATGTAATTATATTACAATATTATATATTATTGTATATCAGATTCCTGTAATAATCTTGAATGAAATAATCAAGATAAAGTCCCAAAGAACGGTTTTTCTGCCGGAGTAGGACGGGCCTGTTTTTGGCCTGGGTGCTGGGACGAGGCCCTGCCCGGCCCGCAGGGCCCCACTCCCGGCCAACATACCCTCCAAGTGCACGTGGAAAGCAGGTGGTTAGGAGACCACTGGTAACTTGAAGCTTTGGGTTTTTCATTCTCAGTCGTGTGTTTCCATGAAAACAGGAACTGATGTGCACAGAGCTAATGATATGTCTGTTGTCATGTGTTTGTCAGAGAAAATGCACTATCAGCTGTCAAATCTATCTCCTCCCACTGCAGATAGAGGGGCGGGGGTGAGATGACAGGAGGTGGAAAAGCAAGATGCCCAAGCAGCCCAAAGCAGGGATGAGTTGGACCTCATCTGGCAGGAGGGTTCCGGACCAGGCTGGAGGGGAGTTGGAAGGACAGAGCAAGCCACAGGTCTCTGGACAGCAGCCCGGGGGCCAGTGGGCCACCGGGGGACCAGGCTGAGGAGGAGGAGGGGCTCAGGCAATGCCTTCTCTGTTGCCGTAGGAAGTCTCTTAGACAAAATGAAAGCTCCCTCAACCTGTAATCTCAATATCTGTTTTTGTGAGAGTATTTGGTTTTTCGGAAATGTATGGGCCAGAAAATTCTCTCCTTCAACAAGCATTTATTGAGTGCCTCCTATATGCTGGGTACTCGGCCAAGGCTCGGTACGTCCTAAGGAGCTCGTCCTTGATGAGGATCTGAATTAGGATTACAAAATGCAAACTTTCTACCATGCATCTTCTAAATCAAGTGTAACCAGAAACATCAAAACATTTTGAGAGTAAAGATCAGAACTCTCATTCTTTTGAAAACTTTTAACACTTTATCATTAATTTGGGCATGTTCGCTTTCTGTTAAAAAAAGCTTCTTGTTCAAGCACTTGTGGATGGCTCTCCTGCCCCAAGTCACCCATCTGCCAAGCAGACCACCCAGACAGTCTTACCTTTGGGGCAGTCAAGACGTCGGCTACACTCAACTCCAGGCACAGCTCCTTGGACCAGGCAGGAACAAGAAAGCAAGAGACAGAGTTACCTCCAACTCAACCGAGTAATTCTTGCCAAGCAGCTCCCACTCCTTCAGACTGAGAAAACTTTCTATACTCCCTCAGGAAGGGGCGGTGAGGGAAGCGCCAGGGGAAAGTCTCCCATCACCGACTGCCTCTTCTCTAGAAGCTGTTCTGTCCTTCTCAGTGTCTAAGAACTACCCGTGGCATCGCCACATCTGGAGAGAGGGTGCCAGATGCCTTACTCACCTTTCTTGCTGTGAGGATGTTCAGAGTTTTGATGGTCTCTTCTAGGACGAAGTTGTGCTTGTGTCCATGGAGGAAGTAGCTGGTACATGCTAGTAAGCAGACCAGAGCTGGAATCAGGTGGGAGGTGAGACCCATTAATAAATCTCTTTGCAATAACTGTGAGACAATTAGTTTACCAGGAGAGGCTAACAATGCAATTCTGACAATGATATCTCTATATATAGATTTAAAATTGCTGAAACCAAGGGAAAATGAGTTTACATTGGAAATTTTCATTACACCGGGTTGGGGCCAATCAGCACCTCTCTTCCAGGAGAAAAATATGCCTCACAGAAACAGGTAAAATGTTCCTGTGAAATCAGACCAATAGGAAAATGAAACCTTTTTCAAAAATTAACTACAAAGTATCAGCATAGGAAATTACACCATAATTTGCTCTTTAGATTAATCTTATCAGCTTGGGGTTGTTGCTGGCTTTTTGCTTTGAAGGAAGAGGCCACAGGTGTCCGAATTTGTTATAGCGCAGTCCTCCTGGGGAAAGATAGAGTAATATCAAGAAAGTTTGACTTGAACGGTGTTTCAACCTGGCTTTTTCCAAGTATGGGTGGTATCTTGGAAACTTTTCTTTTGTGGAGAAGCTGATGTGAGTTCTGTATCTAGTAGAAGGAACGTAATGAGCACAGATTCTCTCCTGTCCGCATTCTTCCAGGTAAAGGACAGGTGACGCCAGGTGGGGCTCAGTTGGGTCACAGAAGGTGCGTACATAGGTCTTTAACAATAAGGAGGCGCTAGGCACATTAGATCCATCCCGAGGTTTCAGGAATGACCACTCTTTAAATAAAACTTAAATACATCCTTAGCTGATTGGGGAAAAGAGCCACAACCTCATTGATTCACATATCAAATGTCTTTGTCAGGGCTTCACCACCCACCTGCTACTTTAGTGCGACTCCCCCGGACCTGGAGAGGTGCCGAGCACCCCACGGTTCATGTAGATGCAGCAGGACGGCTGTGCCCCAGAAGGCCATGCTTTGTCCTCTCTCCTCTCCACTTCCCTTATCTTGGCTTCCAGCTTCCTCTGCCCACTGACTCTCCTCTGGAAGATCACATAGAAAAGATTACTGCGAAGGGAGGTCCTGGACCTTATTGCAGTGCCTTGCACTCTGTGAGGGAGGGAGGGGACCTGGATCATCGCATCGGGAAGGTCCTTCGATCATATTTAGGATGCTTCCCTTGGGACTGCGTAAAAATGCTATACATGTTTATTACAGCAAAAGGATACCAATCAGATACACTCAGACGCCGGGGTCTAACAGGATCCTAAACATGAAGCTTCTGCCGTCCTCTCCCTGTGGAGTCTGAACATGTCACCTCCCAGCACCTCCGTGTGTGACAACATACAGAGTACTGCTGAGCAGGGCAGCTCACCCCAGCTTCAGTGTCCAGAATTTTACTGGGGTGTCATTCTGTAGGCATGGTGGATTGAATCGTCGGCCCCCTCCTTAGAGGTTGGGCTGACATCACAACAGCTTAATGGAGTGGCTGGCCCACCACCTTGAGTTGCCTGATTAGCATAAACTCTCAGGGCTCACCACGAATGGCAGAGCGTCCCATCACTTAGGAGAGCCCAGAGATTAGGGGCTGCCTCTCAGGAACTAATGATCAAAACCAGCCAGATCATTTATTTCAGGAGTTTAGAGGTGATCTTCCAAGAGGGGGACAAAGGTCAGACTTCTTTGAGTAAGTTAACTATTTTTTTAAATAGGTATTTCTCTTTTTCCCTCCAGTTTTATTGAGATATAATTACACATAGCAGTGTATAAGTTTAAAGTGTAGATAGAGCATAATAATTTGACTTACATATGTTGCGAAATGAAAGTTTAGTTAACATCCGTCATCTCATAGAGATACAACAAAAAAAGGAAAAGAAAAAAATGTGTTTTTCCTTGTGATGAGAACTCTTAGGAGGTACTCTCTCAGCAACTTTCAAACACACCGCACGACGGTGTTCTCGATAGTCATGTTGCACATGACACCCCAGTACTTTACCTTATAACTGAAAGCTTGTGCCTTTTGATCACCTTCGTCCAAGGCCCCCTCCTTCAACCCCACACGTCTGGGAAACACAAGGCTGATCTTTTTTTCTCTGAGTTTGATTTGTCTGTTTGCTTGTTTTTAGATTCGACACATAAGTGAGATCATACGGTATTTGTCTTTCTCTGTCTGACATATTTCACTTAGCATAATGCCCTCAAGATTCATCCATGTTGTTGCTAATGGCTGTATTTCCTTCCTTTTTATGGCTGAATATATTAATTTGTGTGTGTGTGTGCCATTTTTTTGGTCCAGTTATCCATCGATGGAAACAGGTTGTTTCTGTATCTTGGCTGTTGCAAGTAATGCTGCAGTGATCATGGGGCACAGATATTTTTTCAAGTTAGTGTGTTTGTTTCTGTTAGATAAATACCCAAAAGTGGAATTGTTGAGTCGTATGGTAGTTCTATTTTTAATTTTTTTGAGGAACCTCCATACTATTTCCACAGTGGCTGTACCAATTTGAAATCCCACCAACAGTGCACAGGGGACCCTTCCTCCATGTCATCACCAGCATTTGTCATCTGAAGTCTTTTTAATAATGGTCATTCTAACAGGTGTGAGGTGATATCTCATTGTGGGTTTTTTGTTTTGTTTTGTTTCATTAAAATTTACCTAAGGGTATGTTTCCATTGATGTTTAGATAGATGAAAGGGGGCAGGGCAGAGAGAGAGAAACAGATGTGAGAGAAACACATCAATTAGTTGCCTCCCCACAACCCAACCAGTGCTAGGGATCAAACCTACAACCCAGGTTTGTGCCCTTGACCAGGAATTTAACCCACAATCCTTTGGTCCTCAGGCTAACGCTCTAACAGCTGAGCCTAACCTGTCAGGGCCCTTTGCACATTTTTGAATAGGATTGTTTTTCTGCTGGGGTAAATTAACCTTGTTACAGGGACAGGTGGAGTTTATGAGACGGGCAGACGGTTCCTTCCAGAACAGTGGAGACTTCAGTGCAGATGAACCATTATTTGGAGTAAAATGGTACGTACTCCTTTTCTGAGGAAAGGTTCAAGTTAAAACCGGAGTGAACTTGGGAGTGCAGACACCCTGGAGAAGAGTCCGGGGAGCAGAGTACACCTCTCAAAGCCTCGGGGTTTGCGGGAATGCCGTGAGGCAGGGAGGGCACAGGTTCTCCCGCCGCGGAGTGCGTGACAGGCAGCAGAAGGCCGTCCATGTAGCAGCGGTTTTGTGAACCCCTGACTTCATTGAGAGCCAGACCCTGGGCTTGGGGCTCTGGGGACAAATGTGTGGGTCAGAAAACAAATAGAATATGGGAACCAGTAGCTCAGAAGCAGAATACAGCTACTTTTTTGGTTTTTCAATAGTTGGATTAGGCCAGGGAAAAAATTAACTTCCCAGAACATCAAGGAGTGACCAGGGTCCCCTGAAAGGGAGGCAGGAAGCGGAGCATCGCGAGCAGTGCAGCACCGCGGGAGGTGTGCACGCGGCTGCTGGGCAGAGCCAGGAGCCCGGGGCCTGCAGGAGCCCGGGGCCTGCAGGAGCCCGGGGCGGGCAGACTGAAGACCGGCTGTGTGCGTCACAGACCCTCCTCCTTTACCCCTCGCGAGAGCTGACAGCACGTGCTGGCTCTGTGTGGCCTCAGAACTTCCCTTCCAGGCCCTGAATGTACCAGTTATAAGCACAAGGGTCCAGAGTTTAGCAAACAGGCCACTTGTCCACCATGTGATCGTGGGCAGGTCACTAGTCTCTCTGGGTCTCAGTTCCTCACCTGTGAAGTGGGAATAATGTAGTTCCTCCTCCCGAGATTCCTGTGAGGAGTGAGTGAGAGATTCCATGGAAAGAGCGAGGCTCACGCCAATCCATGAAGGCTGTTACTAGACACTGTCACAGCACGTCACAGCACATGTCACAGCACACATCATGGCACACGTCACAGCACACGCCACAGCACGTCACAGCGCACGTCAAGGCACACGTCACAGCACACATCATGGCACGTCACAGCACACGCCACAGCACATCACAGCACACGCCACAGCACGTCACAGCACACGTCAAGGCACACGTCACAGCACACATCATGGCACGTCACAGCACACGCCACAGCACAGCACACGCCACGGCACACGCCACAGCACATGCCACGGCACACTCCACAGCTCACACCACAGCGCAGGTCACAGCACACGGTGGACCCAGGCAGCCAACAGCACTGAGTGTTCAGCCTTGTCACTGTGCGACCTTGGCCACACAGCCTCCTCTGTAAAGTGAAGGTGACAGCTGTACTTGCCTTGTGGGGTTGTTCTGAGGAATAAATAAGGTTAATGTTTTTATTTTTTTAATCCTCACCTGAGGATATTTTTCCATTTTTCTTTAGATAGAATGGGAAGAAGAGAGAGAGAGAGAGAGAGAGAAACATCGATGTGAGAGAGACACGTCGACTGGCTGCCTCCCTCACAACCCGACCAGGGCCGGGGACAAACCACAACCGAGGTACATGGCCTTGACTGGAACCAAACCGGTGACTCAATGGTCTGCAGGCCGCCGCTCTAACCGCTGAGCCAAACCAGCCAGGGCTGGGGTTAATGTTTTTAGAGTATAGTCAGAACTGTGCCTGGCACAGAGTGTCTCGGTAAGTGATAGCATCCTCGTCAGCATCACATTTTCCATGGGCCGAATGACTGTGGTACTCACTGTGTTAGGCAAACTGGAGCCCGGACAGGGCCAGTGGAGGTTTTGCCAGTGGACACGTCTCCACACAGGACCCTACTGGGTGTGCCCCCTTTTTAGTCTTTGAGACCCTATCCTTGTTTTGGGGAGTCACCTTTAGATGCTACACTGAGCCCTCATATTTGTGTGTCTGGATCCGTTGTGGGGAAACGGATACTCCACCCCATCCACGCGGGGGGTGGGATGCGCAGTGTTCTAACTGGCTTCCCCTCCCAGGCCCCTGTCTTCCTTCAGGTCCCAGGGCCTGCCCGATTGTGTGGCCCTGCTCCCAGTGAGGGCCTCCCCGCTGCAGCCTGTGCCCACATCACCCCTCGGAGGCCTCATGCATGTTTTCCGAATATGCTG